AAATGCAAATCAAAACTACTCTAAGGTTTCATGTCACTCCAGTCAGAATGGCAGCTATAAAAAATACAATAACAACATTTTTTTAAAAAGAAAATAAAAAATAATACCCAAACCTACCATATTGATCCATCAAATGTTTTTCTTCCCTTGTTCTCATTAAGTTATGCTCATACTAATATTTCTCTTACAAATTCTACAAATGCAAATAAAATTTTAGTCCCCTTGCTCTTTGTTCACTATTTTATCACAAATATTTTTCATTTGCTAATAGTTTTACATATCATCATATTTTAGTGATGATATATTTTTAAGTAAATATACCACTCAGTCATTGGTACAGTTAGAAATTTGTGTTGTTTCTAATCTTCTACCATATTAAATCAGTTCCTCACAGTGGCCATCTTATAAAAGTCTTCAGAAGAAAAATCATTTTTTAATACAAATTCAACTAGGGCAGAGTATTTGTGAGTTGTCTGGGAGATGTGAACTAACTATAGTAAATAATTGCAGAAGAAAAAATTATGGAGAAACTGATTTACTGGTCAGATGATATTTAACAGAATAATTGGAGGTGAGGGATAATCTCTTTTCTTAGAGAATAAAGAAAAAATAAACCAATAATCCTAGAAGAGGTGAGTGCCTTTTTATTATTAAAGAAAATAACAGTTTCATGTTTGAAAGGAAGAAAGTTCATAGAATAGAGAACCAGAGCCAGGAACGTAGTATCTTTAGTTCCCTTCCTAATAGTTCTGAAAACTTAGATAGATTGAATTGGCTAGAATAAAGGCTAAAAAGCCTTTAATACCACTTATACTCTCACAGGATTTCTATTCAAAGGGATCCAAGATTTTTCCATAAATGTAATCATAAGTACAAAATAAGAACCAGGAATAATAGTGATGATATTGTCTTAATTCTACTCAAAATCACTGTTGCAGGTTCCTGTTGTCCCTGCTTCTCCCACTCTTTCATAATCTGTATTATTCATGGAAGCTGATGGACCTTCTTTTATCATAAATGCATGACCTGAGTCCATTACTTCTCCATCCTCATATCCACCTCCATACCCTTTGCTTCCATCCCTACTATCACTAACATGTACGTTGTGCCAAGCTATACCAGTTTTCTTACTTCTTCATACATACTACACTCTTTCCCACCTTGGGCCTTCATATGTATTTCTCTCTCTGCCTAACACTCTTCCATTCCTTCTTGCTATGTTCTTTTTATTTTTCAGACCTCAGTTGATATGTTACTTTCCCCAATAAAATCTTCCTTAGTCATCAAGTCTGAGTGCTCCCATTATACATTGTTTATCTTTTATTAAACATTTTTCACACTGTAATATTATTGCTTGTTTCACTTATATCACTACACCTTAATCTTCAAGAGTTCAAAGACCTTGTTCAATTTAGTATCAGATTAACTGACATACTTCCTAGCACAGAATAGAGGATCAGTATAATATGTTCAACATTATTAAGGCTATGGAATATAGCAATAATGTTTTGTCCTAATATTTTGAGTTATGTTACTGAATATACTGTTTTTCCCCCGGGAAATCTAGGTTATATTAATAGAAAACAAGGAATTATCACTAATTCGTGCTAAGAAGAGAAGTGATGATCTAGGTTTAAGCAACATTTGGTTCATCCAAGCCAACATGGAGTATTTTACAGGAATGTTTAATATTGGGGTAAGTCATCATGCAATTTCAATTTCCTAATTATAGCTAAATAAAATTATATGCCTTAGAATAAATAAAGGATTTAATTTTATATTCTTTCCTAAACAAAGAAATCTATAACTTTCTATACTTTCTCAACAAAATATAGTATACTAATTAATATTATTATATTCATAGTACTTCATTATTAAAAGTATATGTTTGTCTTTTTCAAAGCAATATTTTTTTCTACATTTCACAGTTATACACCTACAATGTTGTGTTAAATAGATTCCTGTCAACATAGTATGGCTAGAGGGGAAATAAGACTAACTGGCTATTGTAAGTGCATTAAAACTGAATTTATCTACCATTTTATGATATTTCAATAAGGACTTAGTTGACATTTATCTTTGCTTAATAAATACTTTTTTCTTTTACTATTTTTCTTAAAATATAAAAAATAATGATGTAAAGGACATTTTAATGAGAGAATTTTAAAGTCTTAACCAACTACTCTTAGTAGTTTTAAATAAATCATTTATACATCAGAATTGAGATACTAATTGTTAGCCTTCTCTCCACTAATACAACAACTTGTATCAAGCAAAAATGACTAAAGTTACTAATCTAATTAGGGTTACTGGATTTTTGTTAACTTAGTTTGACTTAAGATAATCAAAGGAAATAAATCAAAATGTTTTTAGCTTTTTCTTATATCAAGGTATTCCAACACCCCTACTACTTTCTATAGCTCTCTCATTAAAGTTTCTTCTTTACATTGGGTTTATTTGAGGAATATATTTTTCTAGAAATACAAGTGACTAATAAGCATATGAAAACTCAGTCTTTGGTAATAAGTGCATTCTTAATTTAAACAACAATGACATTCCATTTTTTTGCTTTCAAATTTGCAAAGATTTTTAAAAATATTATTAGTCTAGACTGCAAGGCCTCAGTGAGAGGAGCCTGCTCAGGAGCTTTGAAAATTGCATTTTTATGATGTTTGCATTGGTTTATTAATGGTATGAAAATTTAGTTAACATGGACAAAATTGTATAAATATAATTATTATTAAGAGTATTGATTTTAATATTTGACAACCTTGTGCTAAATTCTTTCTTGGCACTCAATAATTGTGATCTTAGGCAATTTATTCAAACTATTGATCCTGTTTCCATCTATAAAGTAAGTATAAAATACTCACTGGTAAAATGTTGACACAAGATATGTGAAGCACTTAGGAGTTGCCTAGCATTTAGGAAGTACTCAATGAACTGAGCCTACTACTTTTTGCAATGTGATCTTAACCAGGTGAAAACTGCATTACAAATGAATGGAAAGGGGCTGGAGTTGTAGCTCAGTAAAAGAGCATTTACCGTGTGAGGCACTGGGTTCAATCCTGAGCACCACATAATAATAAATAAAGGTATTGTGTCCATCTGCAATGAAAAATATTTTTAAAAATCATTTCCAAAAAAAATTAATGGAAGTAAATTATGCTAATATGTACTTTTTTAAGGTGGCTGTCCCTATATGTTGTGAAATAATATTTTTTATTTTTAATATCTTTAAAATATACTACACTCAACTTATTATTTTTATATTCATAAACATGTAAGCAATAAAGATAGAAATAAATATATAGTTATTTATTTTAATAAATTCTATATATAGAAGTATATATTTTATATGGTATATAAGATATATACAGATTCACTCTGATATATGATGGGTTTACCTCTTGATAAACTTACACTTAATGGAAAATATCATAAATAGAAAATGTGTTTAGTACACTAACCTGTTGTACATCAAAGCTTATCAATACAGTACTTCATAGAAAAGTGGTGGTTTAGCCTGTTATTATGTGACTGGACTGGAGGCTTGTTGCTGCTGCTGCTACTGCTGCTGCTAATGCCCAACATCACAAATGAGTATCACAAAGCATATCAAAAAAGATCAAAACTCAAAATTTGAAGTATGGTATTTATTGAATATTTATCACTTTTGCACCATTGTAAAATCAAAACATTGTAAGAAGAACTAATGTTAAGCAGGGATTGTCTATGTTCTTTTCTTCAAAACAAGTATTTGATTGTTACAGGGATACTTTTTCATTGAATTGTTTTTATTTTGATTATAATGATTAATTATTTCCCTGAGGAAAATATGTCTTTTCAAAAGTAAGAAACATCCCAAAAAGTTTTGCAATTTTTTTCCAATTTCTATATATGTAGCTGCATGACCCTGATTCAATTCATTATTACCATACACTTAAAGGGTAAGTTTCAAAGGTTATTTATAAAAGTATACTTTTTAAGGCTGTTTTTACAAGAGGTATGTTGTTTCCTCTTTTGTGTAATATAGGATTAGTCTGATTCTTTTGAAAATGTATAAGATTAAGCTTAATAAAGACTTAATTTATAATATATA